TTGTGGTGGACCGGGTCCCCTCACATCCCAACTGGGGGGTTTATTCATCGGGGAGCAACATCAATCTAGGGGTTGATTCCCCGTTCTTTTCAGCCATCGTTCTTTCCAAAACCCAGCCATTTCCCCAGGTTTTTTTTTGGCGGTTTTCTAGAAAGAAGGATCCCTGGAAGAAAGGAAATGGACGTTTCCCCTAAAAAGGTGAGTACCACGAAAGAACCCGAAGGAAGTGCTCCAAGACCTGGTGGACACTCCCGTCTTCCCCGGGGGCCGAAGGAAGGTAGCGGACCGCCGCTCCTTTTGCCCCGTGGGGCCGGGGGCGGTGGAGGGCCTGCGCCTGGTGTACGGGCAGATGCTCGAAAAAAAGGCATAGACTTCAATAGACTTTTAGAGATTCAATATATCGATATGCATATATATATATATATGTATATGTATATATTTGGTTGTTGTTTTTTCGTTACTGGACTTCATTTTATGTCAACATCAAAGTTGACTGGGATTTCTATGACACATTTCTAGGGATTTACAATTCAGTAGGGTCTTAAGTCTTAAGCAGCTTGAGCAAAGGCACCAACGAACCACTAAGGATGGACATCGCCCCAGGCGAGATCACGCCTATGATGCTGGCTTTGCTGGAGAAAGCTGACAAGTATTGGGAGGCAGCTGGCTTGCCACAAGCCCAAATATTCGGAAACTGGGGAGAACCAGAGGTTGTTGTTTAGAAGGAACCCACAGTTGGCCAAAGGAAAAATGCCCACACAACAGTCGCCCTGGTCGCTTTAGGGAAACTACGCTGGCCGAAACAAGTCTAAACCACAGGTGGGCCAAACCCCCGGTACCTGAGAAGGGGAGAAGTAGATGAGCAGCGGTCAATACTCACCACCGTCAGTACATGGATTGGCATTCGCCGAAGCATTGGACATTCCTTCGGATTTCGACTGCTCAAATTGAACATGTCCGGGGAAAAAATAGGAAAACTTAGGGCCTGCCTTGGACCCCAAGATGTACGGGGCTTGGTACCTAGGGCTGATCTCAGGGCGACCCGGACGAATTAGAGCTGCACGACATCCAGTTTATGCTCTGCGAGCTGCAGAAGTTCCTCAAGTACCTTGGCTGCTCGCCATGCGGTTCGGACGCGTGGACCTTCAGAGCTTCTTTTTCGGGATTGTGACATATCCCACCATGTTGTTTGGTAATTTTGGAGGTTATTTGTGGCACATCCCATTTTCGGAACTTTGCGTTTGAGGGGTCAAGGAACCAAGGTACCTGCACGGCGCGCGCTCGAACGGCCTGCGCTGCTACGCGGGGTTTCGGCGGTGCTTGCTGCCGACCAGCGCAGAAGTGGTGCAGCAGAGGGTGGAAGAGATGCTGGTGCTGCGGCTCCTGCAGGTGAGGCTTTTGGTCAAAATGATGGTCCTCGAAAAAACGGGATCCTCATCAGCAATTGGGGTGATATCTCGGCGGGACCAAGGGGCGCCCTGGCGACCGGCTCAGGCGCTGGAAACTCCGAGGCGGGTGGCCAGGGAGCTGTCGGCATTTCTGGGGCTGGGGCTGAGCTTCCGAGATCTTGAGGATCATTCCATTCGCAGCGGGGATCTGGCGGCTTGGCTGTGAACACGGTTCCTAGGACTGTTAGTCGTTTGTGTCTTTTGTTTCTTCGGGATTTGTGACATATTGCACTAAAAGTTGAAGGATGTTTGTTTTTGGGCGTATTTCGAATTATTTTGTTTTGGGGATCCCACTGAAAGGTTTACTTTGCAGGGAATCGACAAACCACTAAGGTGGTGTTGAAAAACGAGGCGCGGCACAATTTGTTCTTGGACGACAACGGAGAGCTGCGGAGTGGGACGGAGTCCAAGAAAAAGGCCTTATGGGGACCAGAGTTGTGATTGCCATGAAACAGGTGCCCAACTCATTTCACCCTCAAAGTAGCAGTAACCCACGAATCAATTGCTCAACCGGTGTTTTAAATCCAGGTTTGACCCCGTGTTTAGAAGGAGAAGGTTGGAAGCCACCGGAGCAGGTGTTTTCCCTCAGACCCACGCCTTGAGGGATGTCCCTGCCCACCCCGGTTTGAAACTGAACCCTTCACGCTAGATGGGTTTGCCTCAAAGGCTCTGGAAGCCCCACCGTTCCCTTTGGGTTCCCTTTAAACTTTCAATCAGCCCCAACAATACTCAAATGAGCCGTCAAAACCCGGGTAGGTGAAGTTTAAGGGAGAATCCCAATTGATGGTTGCAGCCGCCTTGTGTTGATTCCTTACATGTTTCTGGGTCCATATACCGATCGGTTTCGAGCACTCAAAGGAAGACACCAATGGTCCTTTTCCTTGTGTCCCACAGGGGGCCTTGGAGCCCACACTCTTCCGGATCCAGACGGAGGTTAGCCGAGCGCCGCTACGCTTTGGGCAGGTGGGTTGCAAAGTTGCGGTAGAACCAACTGATCCAATTCCTTGTGGAAAAAGGTGGTTTTGCAAGCAAAATGGTTGCTTATGCTACAAGAGGTCTTGAATCGCCCAAGATGCCACAGGTAGCCCGACTCACCATTTTTGCTTATGCTGGGCGGGCAACCCTGTCTAAACATGTTAAACTGTTTCTGTAAAACTCGAATGACCTGTTGCTTTTAAATTCTGATTTGTATGATATGTTCTTATCTGTTTTGGTGGAACCGGGGGGGGGTGAACCGCCTTCAACCCAGAAAGGTCTTCTTCCTGCGCGCGCCCAACGGGGCGCACCTGGGACCGCTGAAAGACCGCTTCGCTGCGCCCATGAAGGGCGAGAGGTTCGCCAAGGGCAAGCAGCTCACAGCCTGTCCGATGCTCGAAGAACAATGCCCTAAATGGGTCTGTCGTTTTTTGAGGGTACCTGTTTTTGTGGGGGACCCTCTTTGGAATAAATCAATTTTGACGGGAAAAGGCTGAAAGCACTACAGACGTCCTTCCTGGTTGTGGCCAAAAATAGATGTTGATTCCTGGGGTCGTTTCATAATCTACCAGGGAAAGCCATCTATTTTCCCAAAGGCATGGGGTTGTGGCGGGAAGCTGCAGGGAAGCCACTTCTTTTCTTCGTTTGAACCAGACAAACCCAACATGTTGCTCCAATTCCGTATTTTTCTTTTTGGGCATTCGATCCGAATGTGCCGTGTCGATCAGAGCCTTCAACATTTGGCATGTGCTCCCGCGGTTTCTCCAAAGCGGATCACTCCGAGGATCCGAAAGCACCAGGACCGGGACCGGGAGGTGGAGCTGGGGGAGACCCTGCTGCTGCAGTCGGAGTCGGCGCGGCCGGGCACCTCGCTGCGGTGCCGCTTGGAGCGGGACCCCGTGGCACAGCAGCGCGAGCAGAGTCTGGAGACCCTGGCGCCTTGGAGGTTTCATGGATACGTGCTGGGGGGTTGGTTTGAAGGGAAACCGGGTAAACCAAAAGGAACATCGAGTCCATGTTTTTTTTGGGTTCCTAGATGTTTTGATTGGAGGTTTGGGAATTTGAATAATAGTTCCTTTTGAAGCCAAATGGGGAAGGTACTCCCCCGAATTCGTCAAAGTGAGTAAAAGGGTGGTTCTCCAATGACTTTGATCTGCGAACTATTCTTGCCCTTGACCAAATGATGGTTTTGGCTGGGTCCCTTAATTCTCAAATCTGTTCTCATTTTATGTTTTATTTTTAAATTGGGAGTTCCCTTGGAGCACCATGCGGCGTAGCCGCGTGGCTCTGGGCCCAGTTCCAGGTTGAAGGGTTGCTCATTGATACTCAGGGACCCTCAATAATTGCTAATAGTCAGGTTCGAGCTCGCACCAATGGACAAGCATGTGTCCAGCATCCGAAAGGAACCCATTTGTTGGAACCCATTTTGGGTCACCCCAAGGTTTGAACACCAGGTGCACCAGGCGATGCAGAACATGCACTTGGAGCCCGAGTCGGGGACATTGCGCAACTATGCCCAGGTCCGCGGGCGCTGCATTGGGACGTTGAGACCTACGAAGCGGTTGAGGTGCAAGACGCGGCCCTGAGGCTTGGAATGTTCCATGCCTTTGGTTTGGTTCTGGCACGGACAGCCGGGCCCTCTACAAATCGGCAAGGGCGCTTTTGCCGACGCTCCGAAGGGCCCTGAATTGAAAGCAAGAGCCACATGCATCACCCAGCGCCGGCGCGAAATGCGATCGCCCAGCCGGCGAGAGAGGGCGGCCCCGGCGGCACCGAGCAGTGCGGTTTCGCGGATGCCTTTTGAGCGCGGGTCTCGGCACCGTGTTTGGACAAAGCCCGGCGCTGTGCGTGAGAAAGAGAACGGAGTCCAGTGGGTTCTTTTGAAGCAAGCTTAAAATCAGATCAGTGCTCTGGGTGCACTTCGCCAAGCCGCCTTTGTCAAATGATGTCCATTGCAAGTGATTTGCAAAGTCTCATTGCACCAAACTGATGTAAAAGGATACCTGGGCTCATGCGTGACAGATGGGCACTTGAGGCCACACATGGACACTTCTGTGTTGTGGGAAAGACGCCAGGGGAGAGTGAACCATCTGAATGGATCCTCTGCCCATGTTATGGCGAGCGAGCTCTGAGGCTGGTTCCTTTTCTATTCTGCTTTCAGCTTGGTTTTTTGCAGTTGCCCGATTTCTTCTTGCTTCCCCCATGTGTCGTTGCCAACGATCAAATTGCGTCCACTGGACGAACTGAAGCCCGAAGCCGGACCATGGGTCCACGTGTGGTCCGGGTAATCAGATTTCCCAAGCCCCTTCGCCCCGTTCTCTAGTTTGTTTCTGGGTGCGTGTGTGTGTGGAGGGGAGGCCTCGCCTCACCTTTCGGTCTTTAACACGGAAGAACGCTGATCAGAACAAGTCAGAGCACTGACCACAGCAAGTAAAAGCGCTGAAAGCGCTGACCTCAACCAGTACAAAAGCTGACCACAAAAAATAGAAGTGCTGACCTAGCATTTGTTTAAAGCAGTTGCCTAGCAAAACCAGGCGTACACCAGTCTTCGGCAGGGGTTCACGCGGTTTTTGAGAGGCCTTCAGCAGCTCTGTGCCGGACGCGACGTCATCGGTGGAGGCGCGCGGAGGCCGCGTGCTGTGTGTAACAAGGCATGCGGTGGGAAAAACGGTTCGCACGGTATGCGCCCAAAAAGGGCTTGGACCCCGAAAATGACGGTTTTTCCTTTTGGCCTCCTTTTAAACCAACCAAGCGAGCCCTCAAAAAAACACGGCATCACACTCTTTGTGCTTCTGTTGTAGCCTTGGCAGGCCTCGATTCGCTTTCCCGATGATGCAGTGCGAAGTTCCTGAACGGTATGAGAGAACCGGTTGGACTATCCAACTTCATTCCCACATCTCTGACATGCTGCAAGGTGGCCACGTTTGTCGCTTCAAAGCCAGCTAGAAAGGGACTCTTCTAAGACACCCACTTGCATTCCCTGACCCTTTGGGAACCTGTTCGAACAGGTTTTGGGGCAAAAGGAAAGTCCCTTTTCAGGAGCAACCCTCTGTTCAAACTTTCTTATATAAGTGCCTGGATCCTGAACGCATCAATTCCCTGAATGTCCTGCAAAGGGTTGGCAACCAGAAACCTCACCCATTTTGCAGCCGCCAGAAAGGTTGGGTTCCCCCTTCCCCCCACTCGTGCGTCAGGTGCACTTGCAGGGCCCCTTCGGTAGCCTCGCCTTTGGCCGCGCGGGGCGCCCGGCGCGGGAGTGGGTCAAATGAGGGTACGGCGTTTCGACCCCCTCCCTTTCCTCTTTTTGGTGGCTTGCTCGTGTCTTGTCAAACCATGGAACACGCAGGACCTGGACTTTTCTCAACTGTAATGCTGTTCCGTTCAATTCCCTTAAGTCGGCGTTTGTAGGAATCTCAATTCCGGGCGGATGTCGTTTCCCTTTAACGTCGCACCCTGAAAAAAGACAGCGGAGCTGTCCACTTCAGTAACCTCTTGACAAACTACCAGCATGCCGGGTCTGTGGCGCAATGGCAGCGTGCCCACATTTGCCATTTTGACAGTCGGGAGGTCATGAGCTCGAATCCCATCAGTGCCCATGGTGCCCATGGTGTGTTTCAGAAGGGCCGAAGGAGCGAACACTGTTTCATTTGGCTCCCAATTGGTTATGGCACTCAAAACACTGGGGTCGGTCTCCAAAAGCTTGTTTGCTTGCAATGGCGGAGAATGAAGGTAACGTGACCAGGGCCATACCCTCCTTGTACGGGAACAAAAAAAGCCAAAGGGCAGTGAACAGGAAATCACAAGGCAGTGCTTTGTTCTCGAAAAATCATCCACCGTCCTTTGCGAATGTTCGCAGACATCCAGCTGGAAATGCGCTTGGTGAAATCAAGGTGGCTGATGGACATGCAGAAAGCCAGAAAAGGCGCTTGCTCCATCGCGCGGGCATGTGGGTCTTGGTTCGTTTGGTGTGTGTGTGTGTGTGTGTGTTCTTGTTTAAGGGAAGCCAAGGAAAACTTGAAGCCAAAGGGAGCCAAAGGTTTTGGGGTATGCCGGTATGTCTGATCTAACGACAAAACCAGAGGGAACATCGCCCTCCTTGGCTTGCCTTTGGAGACGCCGCGTGCGACCTGGTCCTCTCCAGCGGTTTGGAGGAGCACAACGGAACTTCCGGAGGAAACCGCGAAGCGCATCCAAACCGATACCTCCAACGGATCCCCTCAAGGTACGGCCGGTTTGAGGCTGCAAGATTTGTTTGTCGGAAAACACCCCCCTACGGGTGTTCCTCGAGTTTCCAATTCTGAGGCAATGGCTTGGATTGTGAGTTATGAGGCAGACTGAATCGACAGCACGGGTCGTGACAAATTCTTGGCTCAGCGCGATCCTGGGCCTCTGTTTTATCCCGCCAGAGAGCAGTCTGCTTTGTGGACATGTTTTCTTCTCAAGGAACTCGAGGTTCAACTTTCAGCTTTTCAGACCGAGTGCAAAAGCCTTTCCGTTCCCGTGTTTCTCTCTCAGCAGCTGCACTTTCAATCTCCTTCTACACCTTTTGGCCCAGACATGTTTCAATGACTCCAGAAGCAAAAACAACATTTCATGGAACCCCCCCAATCAACCCCAACCCCCAAATCCTCCCCCCCCGCCGTGGACGTGTTCAACCCCCCATACCGTGGAAGGTATTTTGCAGATCAACCCCGAAAAATCAAATACCCGAAACGAAAAGGTTGCAATTCAGACCCATGTCCACCAGAGCTGCTCCCCACTCCACCAAACCCCCCAAGCCCCCCCAAACCCCCCAAACCCCCAACCCCCCCAAACCCCACCCCCGAAACCCCCAACCAACCCACCCACTCCCAAAGTTCCCGAACCCCAAGCCCCCTCCGTCCCTCTCCGCATGGCGCCATGGAGCTCCGCGCGGCCGGCGCCCTTCCAGGCGGGCCTCCACTCGCCGCACCTCTGCGGGCCCTACCAGGCGAGGCTTTTCCCGTTTTCCCTTGAACAAAAGGCGTGGCCAGAAAGGCGAAAACGAGGACGTGCACACATATGTTTTCATAGTACATATATATATATATATACAGATATGTATATGTATACATATATGCATATATATTATAAATGTACATATGTCCCAGGTCTGCCAGAAGGGACATGGGGCCCACGATCCTTTTTTGGGTGGGGGAGCCTCTGGTTGTTTTGTCCAATTTACCCACTGTTTTGGGTGAAACCACCCCAAGAAGGGGTACTCTCAGAAGAATACTCAACCATGCATGTATGTGTTTGTCTCAAAACAGGGGTACCCCAAATGACTCGATTTCTTTTGGTTTCCTGTGATTCCACCCCAAGGAGGGGTACCTTCAAAAAGAACTCAACCATGTGTATATATATATACACACGTATCTACGTATGTATGTATGTATATAAACATATATATATATATATATATATTTATTTATATACACACATATCTACGTGGTGCAAGTTCCCGCCCCTTGTTGAGGTGTGGTTTAGGGTTGATTAGGGTTTGGGTCGCCTTCCTTTAATTTTGCTTTGGGTACCCTTTAACAAAAACTCTACTGTGTGTGCATATTTTGTTTTGTCTATATTATTCTGGCTTCCTGCAGAAACCAACACTTGTGCCCTGAGGCGGAGAAGACTTCCGGCGTTGGCTCTCTCCAGGCGCGGTCGGGTTGGCACGAATTGATTGTTCGGGTCCGGAGTCCTAGTGCAGGCTGTGTTGTTTCACCCACCAACACCCAAGGAAGGTGTGCTTTTGCGTGTTTGTTGTTCTTATGTTGTTGTTTGTTTGTTTGTTCGTTTGTTCGTTTTTTGTTTGTTTGTTTGTTTGTTTGTTTGTTGGGTTTTGTGTTGTTTGTTTTCTTTTGCGGTCTCTTGTTTGTTTGTCTCTCTGTCTGTTTGTCTGTTTGTTTGTTTGTCTATAATTTAGATTTTAGGGAACCAAACAAAAACAACATTCGATTCAGTCAAGTTGAACCGGGTTCTTTGCAGAACCTGGTCCAGCTTTGCGTACCAACCAGCCCGTTCGGTAGATGGGAACCCTTTTTGGGGCCTGCCCATTTTACCAGAGAACCTCAACATGAGGGACTCCTCCTTCAAGGGAGTCTCGAAACCCAAAATGGGGCGCTCTATATATGTCTCCGTCAAACATCAAGAGGGGAGCTCAATTCTGACTTGGCCCTGAGGGTGATGTTTAAAACCACAGAAGGGAACAAAAAGGCGACCGCAACACCCACCACCCAACAAGTGGCTCGTCACGAAAAAAGCAAGCGTAATTCTCAATCCTCCCAAAAGCACCCCCCCCAAGCAATTCAAAAAACAAAAGCTTCCTCTCCCTTTCACATCAACCACCGTTTTGAAAGGTGTGGCTCAAAATCGGGTTACGCAGGTTTCAGTTTCTGTGCCCAGGCAGGGTTCCAGTTGGGATCCCAATTATTTTCAGCACCCAAAGGTCTACTGCGACTTGGACGGCGTCCTGGCGGACTTCAACAAGGGCTGCCTGGCGCTGTTCCCTGAGGGCGGCTGCATCGCCGAGAAGATCCCTACCCACACCGTCACTCGGCTTTTGGAGGTCAACAGTTTCACCTTACGGGGAAGCCAAAAAACAAAGACCTATTATTTTTGTGGTCCCCCTGTTTTTCAGACATGGAAAGTGACTGTGACACAACAACTGCCAAAGGTGGGGTCAACATCACCCAACCAAAATGAAGTTTTGTAGCGGGCGAGGGGGTCTGGGTTTGATTCTGAGACACACCCCAAGCCGCAGAGGTCACGCGGCTCAGCTACGAGGAGGAGAGCGAGATGTGGCGCCGGGTGGAGTCGAAGTCGGACTTCTTCTTGTCCTTGGACTGGACGAGCGACGGCCAGGACGAGCGACTCAAATGGGCAGCCACACACGGATGCAGATGGGTCCACAAAAGCGACATCCTCAGAAATATCCCGAGCCATACCGTGGTTTGAAGGGAAACCAACCCTAAGAAATTTGGGCGTGTCTTTTTTCGGGGTACCCCCAAAATGGATTCGGTTCCGTTTTGGTTTCCCTTTAAACACCACTCAAAGGGCGCCGTCAAAAAACGACACCCAAATCAGCAGGCAGAAGGGAACCAAATCAGCACGGTTTGAAATTGTGCCATCCACTCTTACCCTGCAAGAAGTTCTGTATTTTGAAGGGACACCACATGGCATATCCATACAGTTGTCTTTTTCTCCAAATTAGAGGCCTTATTCAGGTCCCAGGTGGATTTCCTGAGAAAAGGGGCCACAGAACTGCACGCATTATTCTCCGATGATGTTGTAATCTTGTTTGGGTTTTTAAGCAGCCCAGACCCCCATTCTGACAAAGGGGAACATGAGCCGAAATCTGCTGGTGTCTTATATATATATATATGAATATATGTATCTATATATCCATACACATGTGTCCATAAACAGTTCTTCCCATGGCCAGTAACTTCTCTCCACACCCATGACAAAGCTCTCTCCGCAGGAGCTGTGGCGGTGGATCGATTGGAACGTGGTGCCGCCGGCGGCGGTGCTCACGGGCCTGCCGCTGGGCCGAGCGGGGCAGATGGCGGCCAAGCAGAAGGAGCTGAGACGAAATGACTTCACTTACGTTTCTTGTTGCAGTGGTCATTGTCATTATTTTTGTTCTTCTTTGTTGGTTTTACAGGGAATCTCATTTGCTGAAATGAGTATATTTGTGTTTTCCCCTTTGAATTGAAAGGGAGTTTGTTGTCGCAGTGATTATTGCTCCCTCAAGGTATCAAAAGCGCAACGCACGCTGCACTTTCTCCCATTTGCTGAAATGGCTACTGTTGGTTTTACAGGGAATCTGTCACTACTGGAAATATGGTCATTCGTTCCATTTTCCTGAGTTCCTTGACTTCAGTCACCGTTTTGGTCTGGACATGTTTAGCGGTACACACAAAGCTTGTTTTTTGTTGGGCCATCCACTCAGGAAGTGAGGAAATGACATGAGTTCGCCCGTTTGGGTTTGTCTCAAAATCGGGGAACAGTCCTTTCCCAACTTGAGGACAGTTTCAACCATATTTGGCAATTATTTTGGAGAGGCGGAACTCCTCAAAAGTGGCTCGTGGACCGAAATCCTCCGAATATTGATGAAGCGTCCGGGCCCATTAACAATCACACCCATTTGGGTTTGTCTCAACATGGGAGAATCCCCAAAATGGTTGGTTTCCTTGTGGTTTCCCTTTGACGCCATTTGGGCGGGGTTTCCTAAACAGACACACAAATTCCATTGTGGTTCTACTACATGGTCTTACTGTGGCGTCAGACCAACCGCAGACAACATTTCCGGGGCGTTTTGCTTTCTTTTGAACGGGGGGGGGGGGGGTTGTCTCAAAATCGGTGGCTTCCTTTTGCTTCCCTTCAAAGAGCCCCAGATTCTCCACAAAAAAACGTCCATAGCCACCCAACTACCTTGAGGGCCGAAAACCCCCCATGGGCCCTTGGAGTACGTGGTTCCACTACCTGGGAGTATGGTGGTTATATGCGGTTATAGCAAGGGCAGTTTAAACCTTTATAGCCATGTTGGTAGAACCCAAAGTGAATCGGTTTTGGGCGCTGCTCACGTGAGTTCCACTATCATTTGTGGTGCGAGGCGGCCCAGACCTGGATCCCCTTGCTTACTGTCTGTTGGCTTGATCTAAAATTCATGGAGTGGACCATTATGTAGGCCACTTTTTCTGACCAGGGCATCCACTTCAACCAAAGTCGGTAGGGACCCAAAGAGAAAAAGTCGGGCTGCATCGAGGGCCGTTCCCATGGCTCCCCTCCCATGGCTCTGACGGACGTACGATGGAGAGCAGATCTGTTTCCGGGGGCCAACGGCCAACTGTTTGGAGGGCTCTCAAAGGCCACCTGGGCTGCAGTGCCTTGGACCCAAAGAATTTTTGCCGAAAATTTTTCAGGGCTCGCCGAAACTGGTCGCAGAAGCGAACCTGAAGCTGTTTTTGCTATTTGGAGGGTTCGTTCCTATTCGTCCAAGCCGCAAAAAAGAAGCCCTGCCAGACACCAGGAGCAGTGGTGTTTGCAGCGGTTGGGCGCCCACGTGTCCGTCTTCTGCTGCGGCACCCGGAACAAGCTGCTGGCCGAATTGAATTGCTGCTTTCTACTAGGGTGCGAATTTTAATACTGTGGATGGACGAAATCCTGCACCACCTAAGAAACCCTGGGATGATTCCTCTGTAAATGCCAACAAACACTGGTTTCTCATGATTTCATAGTGGTGCAGGATTTTGTCCATCCCCAGTAGAGGACCCTGCGGTTTGCATCATTTCCGGATTCATGTCCACCAAACCCTTGTGAGGCGGTTCCTTATCAAAGTTCATAGCCAGCAGAAATCACAGGGCTTAAGTCTACTCCCGTCCAAGAAGCTTAATGAAGAACTTCTCCGTGGAGGGCCTTTGGATTCCTATGAACATGGCTCGTTTGGAATCCCCTCAAAGGACCGGGGATTCCCTCATTCTCTACCAAAAACCAACAAATTGGTTTTTCATGTTATCATTTGCAAATTGACCGGGTAATGTCGACCACAAATTTCAGCAACGATTGGATTTGTTTGGGCTGTGCTCCGAACTCCCTCTCAAATGGGTCGCCCTTCTATTGATCCACCAGGTGAATCTTGAGTCAACATTGCATTGCTTTTTGGACAGGTTGTTGCGACTTCTCTGGGACCAGTTGCTCCAATTTTCAAGGTTTGTCTGCACGGTCAAGGTTTCTTTTGAGATTGGTTGACCTTGCGAGTGCGAATGGTTTTGAAGTCCCATGTCAGTCGAAGCGGCAAACAACCAAAATCACAACTCATGCGGCGCTGCGAAAGCCGAACCGATCGCGCAAACCCACATCACACGCACCCAAAAACAAAGCGAGCCTCCTCCCAAAGGCGTTTTCTGCGGAGGTGTTGTACCACTTAAGTGTTTGTACTGCCACTGTCATGACCCCAATGGAGACCCGCAGGCCCAATCAAGGGGGTTCTCCCCGACGCCTTCCTCGAAATTGCCGTCTCAATGGCGGAAAGGGACACCCTCAAAGGTCAATTTGATTCTGTGCCTTTCGCTTGGCGTTAACCTTGAGCGACCCAAAGAGACCTCAAGATGCGACTTCGAGAGAGCTTCAGGCAGAAGTTCAGCGGCCCCAACTGCGTGCTCATCGACGACCGGAACGACCTGCGGGAGGCCCACGACGTGGGCCTGGAGAGAAAGCCATACCGGAGCTAAGCGCGACACACATATAATACATGTATACACACATATATATATATATACGCATACATGCATAGATAATATATATATATATATATAACATATATATATGCAGACATGAGTACAGCTCTTGAAGGGTTTGGAGTTTTGCGCAAACATCGGCACAAACCCTTGGCTATTGAGTGTCATCAGTGCCAAGGGGTTTGAGCATTTGTTCTGCATAAAGCATGACTTTGTGTGTTTAGAAGGGTTTGGTATATTTGAACTGTTCAGTCTTACCGGTAATCTAACTAGCTTAGACCCTTCCGGCGCAGGTGCGTCTGCAACATTCACAGGCCCAACATCATGGGTGCAGGGCGCAGGGAAACCAGAACTCATGGATACATGGTTGGGCCAACATGGGAGATCGGGCTTCCCAGCTTTCCGGTGATTTGTAGAATATGGACTCCCGAAAAGCCTGAACGAAAGATGGAACCCCTTGACAGTGACAACATGATTGGCAATATGATTGGCACTGTGTCAAAAGAGCCTTTTTGAGGCCCATCACCTTCACAATTAACTCTACCTCCCATTTTGCAAACCTGTAATCCTCCTTTTTGCAGGCTAAGATAGTATTTCGCCCACATGTTAGTACCCGACTGGCAAATGCATGAGCTGAACATATTGCCAGGCCCGACAGCCTCGACAGCCTCGAGCGACAACTCCCTTCCCGTTTTTGTTGGCGGCTCCTTCGGATTCCTCTTGGTGTCCCTTGAACCACGGCCTGCAGTCAACCCGTCAATCATCGCAGGCCTGGGAGGCGAGGGGCGGGGTCTTCATCCACCACACCTCCGCGGCCGAGAGCATCCGCCAGCTCAAGGAGGTGCTGCTCCGCGGCGCCGAGAAGAACCGGGCGGCTCGCCTGGCTTTAGGATGGGAAGGAAGGTTGGAAAGAAGGGAGGGAGGGAGGGGGGGAGGAAGGAAGGGGGCGTTTTTTTGTTTTGTTTTTAAGACCCAGTTTGACAAGGAGGGGCTTTGATTGTTCGGTTTTTCGATTCTTCAATTCTGCGATTCTTCGATTCTTCGATTCTTCATTTCTGCGGTTCTTCGATTCTTCGATTCCTCGATCATCCTCGGTTAGCAGAGTGTTTTTTTTAGTGCACAATTAACGCTAGACTACACCCAATTCAGTGTTCTTAAAAAGGTATTTAAGGTTTGCAAAACCAACAACATCCTAACAAAAAGCACATTCTCCCAGAACTCTTGGCGCAGTGAGAGGCTTCCTGTTGAAAACATGTCTCAGGATGTTTGTTTTTGTAGTGTCATTGTGCTTTCGGTTTTTCTTTGTTGCAGGCTTTGGGCAGGGCTGTCTGAGGATTGTTTTAGTTGGCGAAGCTCAGTCTTCCAGCGGAAGGACAGTCGCGAGGTGTGGCACCGATAAACTAGTCCACGTGCTGTGGACCGCGATAGCACTGCGAGAGCACCGCAAGGGCAGAAGACAGCAAGGGGCAGCATGAGAACAGCGCGACCGAACATATCATGACTCAGGATTATCGTCATTATCTTTTCTTATGTTTGGAATGTCATGAGTCCCTTAGAGAGAGAGAGAGAGAGAGACAGCAGAGCGGGGGCTACCAGCAAAAGTAAAAGTGCACATTGGAAAGGGGCCTGCGGGAGTGCATTTCTCTGTGTTTCTGGCGGGATTTGTGTAAATTGCAGTCTTTTCTGATGTTTTGGTTTCACCTTCACAAGCCGGCGCACGGTGGCACCAAAAACAGGGGGCCATATTTTCGACTTCCCCCCCCTCCCCCCCCGCCCGCCGCTGTGTGTCACAGCTGTGGGACCTTGAGGCGGTGAACCACATGCCTTTGCAGCTCACAAGCGTGTGCTGGGCGTCCCAGACCCCGGCCGGGTGCTTCAAGTCCAACTGCCGGTACCTGCACGCGCCGCGGCTGGATCGGGCCCCGCCTACAAAATGGAATTGGCGGGGAGATATCGACCATTTGGAGATCTCCGTTTACAGTTAAGTTTTTTTCCTTTTGTGAAAAAAACAAAAACATTTGGGCTTGTTTGACACGATGGTGCGTAGCCCTGGCTCAGGGTCCTTCCAGTGGTAGGGTGGAGTCAGCCAAACCCCTGAAGCTGGCCCGCCATGACAGTGCCGGCATGGCTTCATCAGCCTCTGGCCCACGGAGGCTTTTTCACGGGCCTGGTCATCGCCCTGGACGAGTTGACGGGTGACTTCGTCCAGGTGGAGATCCAGCCTGCTGGCATTTTGGCGTATGCCCCGGCTGCGCTTTTTGCACCACGGCAGACCGCGACCCTCTACGACTTCCACGTGCGCCAGTCATCAGATGGCAACATGTGGCTCACGCACCAGGCCTGCTCTGCATGGTTCGTCCATGAACCCACGACGCTCCACACCTATAGGTACATGAAAGAGATCTGCGCTGGCATGGGAGGCATTGGCATAGGTGCCGCCCTGGCGGGCATCACGCCCATCGCCCACCTCGAGATCAACCCCTACAGCTGCCAAGCCCTCATCAAGAACGGCGCTAGCAACGTCATTCAAGGTGACGTTCACAAGCCCGCGGACGTTGCCAAACTTCATGGAGCTGGACCTCTACGAAGGGCCATCATCAGTGCTGGCTTTCCTTGCCAACCATACTCGGCTCAAGGCGACAAGAAGGGAGATCGCGATCCCCGAAGCTGGACCTTTTTGGCCACCCTTCGAGCTGCCTGGCTCATGCAGGCCCCAGCATTGCTACTTGAATGTGTCCTTGCAGTACAAGGACATCCCTTCATCCGGGAGAACCTCAACGTGTTTGCGGACCTCATGGGCTTCCAGGTCAAGACGCTCACTCTGGCGTTGCAAGATCAATGGCCATGCCGCAGAGATCGCTGGTGGGCACTGCTTGCCCCGAGGGAATTTGACCTTACCCAGCTGGTGCCCTGGGTCAAAGACGAGCACTACAGCACCATCGGTCACATCATTCCGGAGTGGCCAATTTGGGAACGACAGGATGAAGAAGCACTTCAACTCAGCGAAGAAGAACTTCAGTACTACGACGACCCATCCTTTGGTACTGAAACTCGCCTGCTCCAGCAGACCGGCATCTGCCCTACGCTGCTCCATTCCTACGGCAACGTCCTCCAACGATGCCCTTGTGGATGCCGACAAGCGGCCTTTCATCCTGATCGCCTTCAACGTGGTGGGGTTCGCGGATGCTACATCATCTCCTCAGTCACCGGCAAGCCGAGATTCCTTCACACGGCGGAGGCGTCCTTCTTGTGCACGGTGCCCATCCAATACCAGTTCCCTGGTGACGCTCGTGACGGCCTGTGCCTGGTAGGCCAGATCGCTGCCCCTTTGCAAGCTCAATGGATGTGCCTTCATCTAGTCCGAGCAGTTCAACTGCACTATGATTGGGTGCCTCTGTGCATCCCTCAGGATCACATCAAGAAGACCAAGCTTGACCTTCTTTGGCAGCGCTATCACCTCTGGACTACCGAGAGTTCACATGCCACTCGACATATCTGGATCAAGGACCAATGGGGCAACAACCTGCACATCCTACGTGAAGGCCAACAGGACGTCGCTGACCTGCTGCGAGCTGAAGCTCGCCTTGCAGATCCTCATGCGCACTACCAGCTCTGGGATGGATCTCGTCGCGTCCCACATGATGCAGTCCTACAAGATCAAGGGCAACATGGACCCTACACCCTCATCGTCAACAGCCCCACCACCGTCCCCGACGATGATCGCGAGGTCGAAATCATCTTCTACACCAACACCACCGTCACCTCGGCCACACTACCACTCGGCACCTACTTGTTTCAGGCCTGTGCCGCTGGGCACATCTCACCCGCAGACACCCCACCAGTCGACCTGCAGGGACACGCCATCCCGCTCGACACCCGGCTCTGGTGCAACACCACAGTCATCTGCAGGCAACATTTCGCCGGAGCAGGAGATTCAGATGACGGCCTCAACGACCAACAGATCTACTCGCAACTCGAACGCCTCGCTCATCTCCATGGCGAACTTGGAGGAGATCATTTCCAATGCCCATCACCACTGCTTGTACCACATCCACTGCCAGCAAATCAGACGCTCGGCCCAGCCGCAGCACTTCAACTCCAACACTTCAGCCCCACTACACCAACCACCATCATTTTTGCTTACAACGGGCACTGGGCCCTCCTCACAACCACTCCAACCACCGACGGCTTCTCAGCCACTCTCTACGACGGCATGCCTGAACCCTCTCTTGAAGGGGGTCATTTCCTTGCGCGCTGGCTATCCACCTGCTGGTCCACTCCATGCACCAGCATCCACGTCACTGCCATTTACCCCCAGCACGACGACCACTCTTGCGGCACCATCGCACTTGCACACCTCGGCTACACCCTTGACCTTTGGTCGAATCTACATCCCCTTGACATCACCGCCTGGCATCGGCGAGTTCGTGATGGTCATCCATCCACCACTTACCTACACATTGCACGCGGCCCACATTCTGATGACGACACCTCTGGCCGACTTGCCACCCTGCTCGCCGAGAAAGGTGTGCCCCAAGATCGCACCACAGAACGTGCAGCCCAAGCCATCAAAAAGCTCGGCATCAAGCACATCTCCGAGGCTCTACACAACAAAAACGCCTGGAGCGTTTTAAAAGCCCTTGGATCACAACCAGCCAACTCCTTTCAGTGGATCAAACCAGATGAGCTAGCGCCCAAAATCCAGCAGCGAGCCGCATCCAACTACGGCATCAGCACGTCCAACAAGAAAAAGCACAAGGACAAGGCGAACATCGCCAAAGAGCCCAAACATGACGCTCAAATCAACCCGGCCGACCTCCAGCTCGTCCCCGGCACCTTTGTCGGGGAAGACGGCATTCCAGTTGAGTCCATCCCAATGCACTCTGTGGGCAAGGGCAAGACAGGCATCGCCTTTGCCACTGTACACCAAATGCTCCCTTATCTGCAAGCTGGCGAACAGCTCAGCACAGGACCGCTCGCAGTGCTTACCACAACAGCCATTCCACCAGCACTTCGCGGCAACCTCCACACCGAGGACCTCATGTACCCAGCCATGCACTCGAACACCCAAGAGCCAGTACTCATTCAAGGCAGCCTCACACAATTGGGCAAAACTGCCGTCACCAGACCCACACTTCGCTCCACACCCGACATCGCCCCAATCACTACCAGCACAGTCAAATTTGCCGTCTACCAGGATCTCTGGCAAGGCGACTGGTCCACCTTCATTGATGGACCCATGAAGCAGGTAATGCAGGCCTTTCCACTACTCACAATGCGCCGCACCTCGGCATGCGGTGACTCCTGTCAGAAGTTCCATCCTCCAGTCGATGATGACCACATCGACAATGTCGTCCTTGACATCTGGGGCAGGCAGTGGGTCAGCAACTCAGGTGCCCGCACCGACAAAGCCAGAGCCGTCTGTTGGACCGCACTCATCCGAACACCACAACTTGCGCTGCCCAACCTGCTCACTCTCTCGGGCACCAATGGCCTCTTCATCGACCCCCGCGACCCAACTGGCCGACTCCCGGATGAGAACTACGGAGTGGTTTGGCTATCTGGCGCCACATGGCAAACCGCCCACCACAAGCACCGCACTACTGAGGGCTCCCTTTCCATTGTTCGACTCAACGACCGCTATGGCCTGCGATTCCACGCGGCACGGCTACCGGAGGCCCACAAGGAGCTTAAGCCGGATGAACCTTATCTACCAGTCAAGGTCACGGACATCTACAAGCTCTTTCCTTTGCCACATGGCACTCAGCGCCAGGGCCTCATCAAGTCCCTTGCTGCATGGAAATGGCGAGCCAAACCACTGCAACCGTGCAAGGGCGACCACAATGGCATCGGATGGGAAATTGGCTCCCAAGACCCTCCGCCAAACAGCATCCTGCAGGGAGCACATGGTGACGTCATGGTCACTAAGCTACGCACTGTGCGGCCTGAAGCGTCCAACTCCACACTTGTTGCCTTTGACCGCACCCAGCAGTACCTTCACGGCAACCAAGACAAGCCTTCTAGCTCTGCCTCCAGCGACCCCTGGCAGTCAGGACATGACCCGTGGGCCACATGGTTCAACCAGCACCCGCAAGAAGGCAAGGTCCCGGCTGCACCATCTGCAGCCGATCGCCTACAACAAGCCGAGGAACGCATCAAAGCCGACCTTCACGCCACACTCCAGAAACAGATCGATGCTCAGTGGCGCACCTGGGATGAAGACCAGGACATGGACACTGAGGACACTGGCCGCTTCGAATCCCGCTTCAGGCAGCTCGAGACCAACGTCGCCGAGCTACAGCGGCAGAACACCAAATTCGAACACTGGTTCACCGAGGCGGCGGAGGCCAACCAGGCCACCAACATGCAGATCGAATCCGTCGCCAAGCAGGTTCACTCCCATCAGGCCGAGCTCACCACGCTGAACAAGAATGTCAACGAACACAACGCAGAGCTTCGCCGGGAGATGTCCAATGGCTTCAGCAACATCGAGGCATTGCTCTCCAAGAAACACAGAGCCGAGTGACTATCTCACCCTGGACCCAACGAGCCAGCACGTTGGGTGCCAAACCGGCCAACCGCCCGATGCTGGCCTATCAACCTGCTCTTCACATGGTGGCTGCTTATATGCAGCCTCATCCATCCTGCGCATGGAGGAAGTGCCCCCGGGACACCTCCATCAACCAGTTCGCATTTCATGGCATCAGACCATGACTCTATGGCACCTCAATTTCGCTCTGGCACGCTCTACAGCCTGTGGGACGCTGCAGTATGCCACCCTGGATACGAGATACCATACAATCTACCACATCGTGCTTCCAGCCCAATCGGATCATTTCATACCTTGGACTGGACCTCTCTATGGACAACACGACACCCTTTGAGCCTTCATGCACTTGAG